TGGAATCAATATTCAAAAAAGAAATGTCGATGTTAGAAAGAACAAGGATGATAAAATAAAGCTTAGTGCGGATATTACTTTAGTCAGTAACCAAGAAAATAACGTAGTTATAAACAAAGGTGAATCGGGTATTAAATTAAGTGTAGTCGGGGGTGGTTTAAGTAAGGGAAATATGGTCATAAGCGAACCATCATTTGGTATTGATATTGGTTTCAGTGGACAAAAATCTGTTGGTAATATAAGTATCGGTACACGTCTACAGCTTGGTTTAGGGCCTTCCCTCGATTTTGGTTTACCATTTGGGGGAAGTTCAAGTGGTGAAAGCGGAGATGGCAATGGTAAGGATGATGGCGGGGGCGGTGACAAGGGAGATAACAAGGGAGACAACAAGAATGACAACAAGGGCGACAACAAGAATGATAACGATAGCATGGATAAAGATGAAGACAAAGGTGGTGGTAGCAGTACAAACAATGGTGATGATAATAGAAATGACGATAGCAATATCAATACGAACGGCGGTGAAAATACGAACGGCAGTGAAGATACGAACGGTAGTGAAAATACGAACGGCAGTGAACATGAAGATAACAATGTGAATGGCAGTGACAATATGAATGGCGGAAAATATGGAGATAACAACACGAGTGGAAGTGAACATGGAAATAATAATATGAATGGCAGTGAACATAGAAATAATATCAATACGAGTGGCAGTGAACATGAAGATGGCAATATGAATGGTGAACATGAAAATAACAATATGAATGGCAGTGAACCTGGAGATGACAATATGAATGATAGTAAACATAAATATAATAAGATAGACGGTAATGAAGGTTCATCTACCAACTATTTCATCTTGATCAACGAGAATCCCTACTCCTTTGCTAATAGTGATGAAAGTCACTCGTTCAGTTCTAATCAGGATTCTGCACTTGCATCTCCAAATGATGTTTATGGAAACGGCAACAATCTTAACACATCTCAACCTCCTGCAAGTGATTTTATTATCTTAACCCACGAGAATGACCAAATAGCACCTGACTACTACTATTCTAACAATTCATTCCAAAATGATGGCATTTATCAAAGCAATAGCAACTACAGCGATAATTCTCATTCTGTTACGAATGACTTAAATTCTCTTATTGTTGATGATATTATCATATCTTCACCTGATATGTGTCAAGGTTCTGCACAAGATGCACAGGGAGATATTTTTATTGACCCTTGTAATAGTAACGCTGGCTTTCAGGCGATTGAAGGAAATATCATTGACAGCGTAGACGAAATTAATCATTCTAGCACAGAAAATAAATTTGATTTATCGACCACATCTGGTAACAGCGTAGGAGAAATTAATTACTATAGCACAGAAAATAAACTTCATTCATCTGCCACTTCTAATAACAGCATAGAATCTTCCTTATTTTCAACCTTTGACAACGCTGTTAGAGCTGAAAATTCCCCAAATATTACTGTATTTGAACAAGTATTGGCAAATACAGTTCAAGAAAATCTACATTTGGTCTCAGCAATACGTACTGCACTGTCTAATGCCACGCCTTCATCAGATTGTAATTCCAAATCCCCTAATAATTCTGTTAACGATATTGATTCTTTTATTAAGAACATTACAAAGCATAAAAAGCAAGACCAGAAAAAAGATGATAGTAATTCACCCGGTTTATCTGGCTCTAGTGAGTCTAGACGTGCAGAAGATGGTAATAAAACGCAAGAAAAAAGGGATTATGAACTTACTGCCAGTAATAAACTATCTCAGGAGGATAAAAAGAATGATGATGACGACGATGAGGAAGAAAATAGACCTAAAGAACCATGTAAAAATCACCCTTCGAGTGTTCGTTGTTTTCGTTGTCTGTCAAGTGCAAAAGGAAAGAAAGTTAGAAAAATGAGAGGAAACATATTCGGCTTTTCTAATTGAAGCAAATACATCTTGAAAAATACCAATATAGACATTTTGTTCGTTTTTGTTTGGAAGTAATGATAATACCGATACCACTGTTATGTATCATAATTACTTCTCAATGCCTGTCTTAAACAAGTTAATCATGATCAGTTGCTCATATCGATATTGAAGTAGTAATTGTGATTAAAAAACATGTTTCTGATGTAAATGCATAACCATGCTCTCCTTATGTATATAACAATTTTTATGCCAGCTTAAAAATAATCTAACATAAGTATATTTGAATTATCAAAATCGATTTTAATTTTCTAAATTGATTTTGAGGTTCCCAATACAAAAACGATGAATGTATGTACGTACGTGCGTATATAGTGCTATTTAGGTTGCGGGAATAACAATAGGTAAAATTTGTTTTGATTGGTTGTTTTTGTCTATTTTAAAAGCACTATTATACGAAGATTTTATATTTTTTAAAATGTTTTTTTGAACTAAAGTATAAATTTAGGAGATTACAATTTAAAACGCATCTTTTATATTAACGTTAGATCCGCTACTTATCTTAAAAGCGACTTTATCAATAAAGATATAATTTAGAATCAACATTTTTTCGATTTAAGAGTTTCGAACCTCACATCGAAGTTAACAATTTGCTTTACTACGTACAATCAAGGAACACAAAAATTGATTGTGCGCAGTACAAATGTAACACAAATAAGATTAAATTAGAATACAATAAGATATTTATTGTGGAACGAACTTTATCCCCTGCAATACTAGAATAGATAATAATTACGTGGGTAAACGTGTACATTTTGGGGTGAGACACAAACTATCATGTATCACATGTATCACAACAGACCGCCCGATACAATAAAAATGGATCAAATTATTAAGTTCTGTGTTCCATCTCTTTCTCCGGTGATCTTATTAAAATGGCTACTAATATCCCCAACGAAATTTTGCAAGCTATATTTAAATTTGTTGACGCTAAAGAGGAACGTGATTACGGTACTTTATTTAATTGCGCTTTGGTCAACCGACAGTGGTGTAATAATGCGATTCCTATACTGTGGCAAGATCCCTTTTACGGAGAAAAAAGTGAAAACGTGATAAAAACATTGTTGTCATTTCTTGATAATGATCAATTACAACAAGTTGATTCAATCAGAAATAAAATACCTCTTATTGAAAATAAAAAGTTTGATTATCCTTCTTTTATTCGGCATTTAAATTTAAACTTTATCTGGGAATCTCTTTACGAGCTGTATTCACCCGCATCTCCAGATTCAACTGATACTGCAGATTCGACAAATGCAACAAATGCGACAAATGC